GAACTATGTATTTATATACGTATTAACTAATACAAATATATCATTACATAAACCCCTATAAGCATATGTGGTCAGATATATTTTTTTATAATTTAATTCAATTTATAATTAAATATATAATATATATGATTATATAAAAATAAAATAAGATCTTTCTAAACTATTAAAAATGCATGTTTTGTGAATTTTAATTTTATATAATTATTTAGTATATCTAACTAAAATATGACTAATAAATAAATAAATAAATTATTTTTAATTATTGATTTGAAATTTATTTTTTAAAATAATTTTATATATAATTTTATTTTGATCTATAGCATATATTATATATTTATTTTTTATTATTATTTGCTAATATTAGAAAAACTAATTTCTAGAGATACACGAATGAGAAAACCATGCATTAACTATGACATGATTAGGAGATGAGTTGCAATTCCCGCTGAAATGAACATTCCAATTTAAAAAATATGTCAATCATGGAATCATGGGCAAGTCCAACAAATGGAACAAGGTGGATTTTTATGTTAATTGAAAAGGCAAAAGACACAAACAACCATAAAAATTAATATTATATAAAATAATTCAAAATGAAATCTTAAAATAACATACAATAATTTAAATATTTTGTAAAATTTCATTATTATTTTTTATTCTGATGACTTAAAATGTGTCATTATGAATACAAAAATCTTCATCTACCCACCACAAACATTTGAGTGATATATATGTAACATGTCAAGATCTTATGATTTTTGAATCGCGCCATATAATGTATGTAAGTTTTCTACAATATCAATACACATATTAAATTGTACTTGTCGTGGGTCGGAAGACAATGATATTTCTCATTGCGTTGGATAAAAAATTTAATATAGTTTCATCTCTTAGATTTAGTAGTTGATACTAATTTGCATTGGAAATATTCTCTAATAAAATATAGTAATATACAAAGTCATGATAAATTTATTTATAGATAAAACCGATGAATGAGATATTATAATAAGAAAATTTAGTACAAGAGAATGAGGAAAATAAACTTTCTTAATACACAACTTCATTTATGAATTGTTGTCGTAAAATTACTCTATTTATATTTATTTCATTAAAATTATATATATTACAACAATTATGTAATAAAAAAATATAAAGTTTTAGGAGGTGGCTATGGATCAGCCCATGGAATTAAGAATGGGTAAAAGAATTATCATTTCATTTCCTCATGACTCACACCAATCATGTCATAAAGCCTTTGGTAAGTCTAGGCTAAAAACTAGCTGATATCTTGTAATGAATTTAATTTTATAGCTAAAAAATTAGCATATATAGTAAAAGTATTTGATAAAATCAACTCATTAATAGGGTGAATTAAAAATTCGTACATATCNAATAACCAAACTTATTTAAATATAAAAAATTTATAAGTTAACTAAATAAGTTATAAGTCAGTTTATGATACATATCAATCACACTTTAAAAGATGTGTGGTAGAAACTTTTTTAACAAGGCGTTTTTAATTATAGGAAAAAAATTACAAGTTATAATATTGCAGGATAAAAATTCCAAATTTTCATGTTGAAAAGAAAAGGAATGTTTAATCATAGAATTTAAAATTTTTATGTGTATACATATGTATGCCTATATACACAGGGAAACGTTATTTTATTCACCATGAGCATGTTGAGTAATGCCCTTTCAGTTGCTCAAATTTCAATGTAATCATTTAACGTTATATATAGTACGTTAATTTCCAGCCACATTATCAAATGAACATTTTAAATTGTGAAGAATAGAAAAAAGAATATTTGATAAAATCTATATACAAATAGATTAAATATACCAAATAATTATTTATTAATTGTAACGGACCAAGTCCATCACTTATTATTTATTCCTAGGGACGCAGAGTGGTGCATCAAAGTTTATTAACACTTCTTGCAATAGTTATTTATTAACACTTCTTGCATTTGATAATGATGGTTTCTTGTCTAAATTGTATTATATTTGGTTGAAAGTAGTGAGAACCATTTCTAATCACCACTTGCGAAAAACCAAAATCACGCAAATTCAGCTAATGAGATTTTAATTAAATAAAAATATTTTTTGGTCGCTCATCAACCTTAAATCATGGCATGGTTATTGGATTTAAAATAAAAAAAATTACTTAAAAATCTTGAGATTTACAAGCTGCCTAGTACCTACTAACAATGATGTGTACGAAGATGAAGACTTTTGGAAGAAGACAACTCAAGTCTCAGTGTCCTCTCCTCTCTTCTGGTTCATATCAGGCCACCTTAATCACACTAATTAATTAAATAAAAATTCTAATTTGGCCACTATTTGACAAAGAAAAAAAAAAATGGAAAAATGTGGAAATGAATAGGAAGATTGTAGTGGGTAATAGTCGGCAAACACTTTTTTGACTAGAAGAAAGTCCAAATCAAGATTCTCCACCATGAACACGTTTTAGATGACTTTAACCTAAATCTTCCTTGGCCAATATGGCATAAATTGTTAATATGTGTTATGTGGGTGTTTGTGAATATTTAAAATAATTTAGAAGATAGAATGAAAATCCAACGAAATAAATAGTAGGGGTGTTCACGGTCCGGTTTTAACCGGAAAAAACGGTCAATCCGGATCGCGGATCGATTAAATGGTCAGTTAAAAAAGCCTTAAAAAATTCGGTGGTTAATTTTTTTTAAAAATCCGGAATAACCAGTTCGGTTAACGGTTACCTGCGGTAAATCGTCGGTTTAACCGAACCGGACCGGTAAATATTAAAAAACAAATATATATATACATTCAGTCATTCACTATGACTGACAAATACAATACATTCACTATGAATGCTTTGCTCTTATTATTTCAGGTGTATAAACTGAATGAAAAATGAATGCTTGATTGGGTTCAGTTTGCATAACTTAGTCTTCATCATTTTTGTATTTTTATAATGAATGCTTGCTTGGGTTCAGTTTGCATAATTAAATATTCATCATTTTTGTATTTTATGTTTATGGGACGAAATGTGTATTTTTTATTTCATTATTGTTGTTTTTCTTAATTTTTAGGCCCAAATAATCACTTTTGGGCCCAAAATTGAAAAATAAAAATTAAGCCCAAAATGAAAAAAATAAAAATTGAAAGCCCAAAACAAGGATTTTGGATTTAATCGACTATAACCAGTCCAGTAAGCTTGAATAAAATATTTGCTCTCGAATCCGTCAACACCAGTCGGTTGGACTGGTAGGATCGATAAGGTTTTCTAAATAAATTTTGTTATATTTAAAATTATTTAAAAATAAATTACATATTTAAATAAAATAGTGATTTATAAATTAGTTATCAATTAGTTTAAACATTTGAATTTATAAATTGCTAAGATATCTAAGTAACACATTTTATTTAAATTTATTACAAAAAGTATTATATATATATACATATTAAAATATTTATAAATTAAAATCTGAACAAACCACAAATGATCTAATAAAATAGTTTGATCGTTTCGATGACGGTCCAGTTCTGAAAACCTTATATTTACTGTACATTAATAAATATTATAATAAAATATTATTTAATTCATATAAATATTAATAAAATGATATATAAATATTCATAAATCATTAAACATGTTGTCATAAAAGTATTGTTAATACGATTATTTGAAATTTGGTCTGTATCACATTCACGTAATAAAATATTTTTAACATAAAATTTATATTTACGTTCAGTAAACAATTTGGTGTGGTCGAACTGATACATAACTTAGTCACCTGGGACCAACTAAGTTGTGTCAAGTTTTTTGACTATTTTAAATATCACCTAAAAGTAATTCAATCAACCTGGGCAGTACCTTAATTCAATCACCCGATTGATCCGAAGAAATTTTCTTATTTTCTGTAAATATATTTAATTTTATGAAATAAAAATATTTTATGATTCATATAATAAATGTCTATACCAAATGATAGTATATTAACAATATAAATTATATATCAAAAGATGAATTAATTATTTTTACTTTAGGCATAATAATAAAAAATAAACATAGTAATTTTCAAAAAATTAAGATTAATTGATTGATTATGCAATTTAAAAAATATTTTTAGCGTTCAATATTTTTGTAAAGGCACAAATATAAAAACCGAGATTCTAAAACTTTTGTTATATTTTGAATTGAGATTTTATAATATAAAGGCCGAGATTTTATTGTTGTTCGTTGTTTCTAAGAAAAAAATAAAAATAAAAACATACACAATTAATAAATCTCAGCCAAATTTTTTAAATAATAAAATGAATTAAAGCCCGAAATTCAAGGTAGCATTTAATGTTGTATGATTTTTAAAGAAAAAAAATAAAACTTACTATTTATAGGCTGCATTAAATTCTGACCTATTTTTTTTCTACTATTTTTGGTAAACGGTAATTCTTATTATATATATATATATATATATAATAAGAATNATGTCTACAAACTCGAATTTGTTAACCAACATCTTAGCTAAAAACTAAACCTCCTGGCATTTTAACTTTAAAATTAATTTCTCATTAGTTAAAATAATTTTGAAAGTTTTTCTAAGCAATCCATTTATAAAAAAATAAAACATTAAATCGCTACAAAATTATATATATGTGTATATATATAATATGTATATATATAGAGAGAGATAAATAGTGAAAGAAATAAGAATAAACATGTATCATTGATCCAAGATATCAGTGACCATGATCAAGTCAAATTATAAATGAGGCAATCAAACATGTAATGATAATTTCATAAATAAGTGTACATTTCGTGGTCAAATGGACATTTGACCACTTATTAGGGGTAAAACAGACATTACTCATTCACCCATGGAACCCACCACCAATACACTAACTCTTTCTCTCACACTTACACCCAAACCACACACTACACAAACACTCTGTTCACACGCAAAAGACATACACAAACACACACACACACACACACACACACACACACACGTCGGTAGACCACAACAAAGCCACTGCCCGCCATCTGTCGCCTGCCTCTAGGCGCCGCGTCTGTCGTCAGCCTTCGCCCCAAGTTTCACGCTGATCAGCCACAACTCGGCGCCTCTGCCGGACACACGCTAGAAAGACGGGCTTCCAGAAACGGTCGTCGTCAGCCTCCGACCCAAGCTTCAAGCCGGCAAGAGCGGTTGCTACTTCGTTGCATGGCCTCTCTGCGGAACGTAACTGTATTCTCACTGTCGCGTCTCCCACAGGATGTCGTGACCTTCATCGAGAAACAATATACGGCAAATGCACGTCTCTCCGTCATGTCTTCGAGAATTTCGTCGTCATCGAGAACGCTTGAAAACTGCGTAGATGCCATATGAAATAAAAAATAATAATATGTCCGTCGGACAAGTGCGAACAAGTCCGGCATGGCTAGTGTCGACTCGAGGATTCTAATCACCAGAGAAGGCTATGAGGCGGACGAACGAGGTCGCCGGCGATGAGCGACGGAGATGGCTGGGGGAGAAGACGGTTGGGGTTACATTTACAAAGGAGGGACACGTTTCGAAAATTTGATAAGTCTTAAGGACTTAATTGTAATTTCAAGAACTTTAATTTATTACAATTTAGTTCAATTTAGTTTATGGGTTAAATATGTAATTTACTAAAAATTCTACATACTTAAAAATTTAATAATTGCACCTTACCGTTCACTGTATTGTACATTACCGTTCAATGCATTGCACATTACCGTTCAATGCATTGCACATTACCGTTCAGTACATTGCACAACAACGATAATTAAATTGCACAATAGTGTGTATCTATATGTACATTAAAAATTGAAAAAAAAGTACAAGAATATCAACGCACTGCGAATGCACAATAATGTTCATCGGTTGGTTAGGTTGAACCGACCGATCGAAATGTTAAAATTGAGATAACCACGTCGAACTTTTAGAAAAGTTGAACCGACCAAATAGTTGTCCCAAACCAAATTAAAATCGAATTAAAATACTTGGTTTATTCAGTAGGTCAGAAATAACTCAAGTAAATTATAAATTATATTATAAAAGCATATTTTGAATTTTTATGTTTTTATTTAAGAATTTATATATACATTTTACTGGAAATAGATAATATTTTCATAAAAAATTAAAAAAAAAAAAAACTTTTTATATAATTTGGTCGATTCAGTTAACAAAAACCAAACCAAAATAACCAAAATTTTAAAAGTAAAAATCGATATCCGAACTCGATCATATGGAGCAATCTGCTTGCAATTAATTTACAATTCATCTAACACTATTGTGCAACCATACCATGTGCATTTTAAATGATTTGTCCCAAACCAAACTAAAACTTTACCGAAATAATCGATTTATTCAATCGATTAATCAAATGAACATAAATATAAGAAATAAGATTTTATTTATATTATAAAAATATTAAGTATTGTAATATTTTATTTAATAGTCTATACTATTTTTTATTGAAAATAAATAATACGTATTTATAAAAAAATATAAAAATAATATTTATTATATATGTTGCTGTCGGTTTGATTATTTCGGCTATTTGGCATCGAAACGGCGTAACCAAAATTTTAAAAAGAAACTAATATTTGAACCGACATATACCAAACTGAAACAAAAAATTATCGTGGCATGTTTTAGTGATTTTTTCAGTTTTGGTAAAAATATTATCTCTTATCTGCATTTCATAATGCACATTAATACATGTGGAAGTGTACAATGATGTAATAGTGTATGTTTTATGCAGTGTCAGTGCGATTTGCGTGAAATATTGTGCAATAAACTTAACATTAATGTGTAATTTACTTAACATTAATGTATATTTTAATTTTTATTAACGCGCAATTATTATTTTTTTATAAATTATAGATTTGACCCATGAACTAAATTGTAATATGAGTAAAATTTATGAAATTTGCAATTAAGTTCTTGGGACATATATTTTTAAATGAAGTCCTTATGTCCAAAAAAACAATTCTCGTCGCCCATTCACTATTCTCTCGGTGTTGCTCTCGGTCAACCGACGATCCGCCTCATATAACAACAAAATCGGCTGTGCGAGGTGGTGGGAGAGAGGCTGACGAGGCAACCAATTTCACAGCGGAGTAAGTTTTGTGATGGCGGCGGTTATTTCTTTGTCATCGGTGGTGAGGAAGGCGCAACAGTGACGGGACTAGTAGTGTCGTCATGTTGCTCGACGGAGCCACTAACAACATTGATGGCGACGATCTGGAAACCAGAGGCGGCGGCGCCTATGCTCCCTAGCGACGAGGATGATACAGGTGGTCTTAGGCGACGGCGGCGAACGACTGGCTTGAGCGGTTCTATGCGGCGCCCTAGAGAGAGCTGAGGAGATGGTTGAAACGTGTGTGTATGTGTGTAGGTCTGTGTGCGTGTGTTATAGCGATGTGTGTGCACATGTGTTGTGTGTGTGTGTGCGTGTGTTGTGTAAGTATGTGGGGTGTGTGGGTGGTGACGTGGCATGTGTTTGTGTGTCTGGGAGAGGGAAAAATAGACATAATGAGAGAGAGATGTGATGTGTCAGATGGGGCCCACATGTGAGTGGGTGTGTGGTGGCGTGAGTCCCACTGTTTGACTGTGGAAAATTACCACATTACGCATAATGAATGTATAGTTTTGACTTTTTTTAGCTATTAGGTCATCCGATTGGATGACTGCGATGTATTCTTATTTCTTTCATTGAGCACCATTCTCACTTGAACTCAACCTTAATATATATATATATATATATATATATATGTGTGTGTGTGTGTGTGTGTATACATACATACATACACAATATGTAGTGATGCAAATGCTTTTAGTTAGCTTATATTTATACTTAATTAAGGGTAATGATGAGATCCTATTGCGAAATTGTGTTCTTTATATAGTATTTATTTATTAAATTGGAATATCTGTGTTAATCATGTGAGGAGTGGTTTTACAGTTGGATCAAACACACGCTTATATGTGTGTGGTCCAACAGTAAAGGTCCATTCTGATACGCTACTTTTAGTCATGATCGGGTTGAATACTTTCCACCTTGAACGATCCTCATTCTTGAGCTTCCGATAACCTGCAATACTCTGGGAGGGGGTCCCGACTAAAAACTCTCCGACGCTCAAGTCACAACTCGCTCAACTGTGAATGTACAGAATATAAAAAATAAAGCGTAGATTGTGTGTTGTGTAATTTGAGAGAACCTGTCGTCCTTTTATATGACTTAATACCTTGGAGCCGAAGAGAGTTCTGGTTAGGGAAGAGATCCACCCAGATTCTACTTCCTTAACTTACTAGGTCTCTATCTTCGGAAGAGTCCTTGAGCGAGTTATTCTTTTTTTCTTATTTGGATTCTTCCTCCTTTTTACTGTTTCACAGCATACACTAAGAAAAATATCAAATTCTAACGAACAATTCTAATTAAAATATATATTTTAATAGAATTTCTTATTGACATTCTAATATTATATATTCTATTGAAAAATTCAAATGGATATTCAAGTTGAGGTCAAAACTCAAATGTTATGTTTGGATTAATTTATCCTTATAATTTTAGTTGCAAACTGTTTATTAAAACAATATTTTATCAAATAATTTATTGTTGTAGAAATTGTCGTTAATAGTTTTTTTTTGCACAAGAATAAATAAATATTAATAACATTATAGTTGAAATCTTTAAAATCGAATAAAAAAAATTTCCACCATAATATTTTTGTCAAATTGTCAGTTTGAATTTTCATATTATATATCACTAGAATATCTTTAAAATATGCCATTAAAATTCTATTAAAATATGGCCTCCTTATAATTTTTCGCCAATGTGACACAATTTTAAAACAAAAAGTGAAGTAATAAGTTGATGACATCACTGATTAGCCATTTTATTCATTTCAAAATAGGCTTGTAAAATAAAGCTGGGCATAACTAGAATTGCTCCCGATTAAATTCTAAAATCAATATGTCCCGAGTTTGTATTAATTCATTCAACGGTGGTGGTGGTTAAATAATTATTTGCATCTATATACAATAAATCATTTGTGACTACAGTAGTTGAAATCTCCATAAATGCGTGAAAAAATTGTACACACTAGCTAATGGTACCAATTAAAATTTTGACACGAGACAATGTTATTAGTTTATAAGTTTTGTTTAATTTGTTGGGGTTTATCAATTGGAAAAATTAATATCCATAAATAAATCACGGTGTCACTATTTTATCAAACCACCGCCCTCACGGAAGACAAGACGACAAATAATAAATATTAAAATATATAAAATAAAATAAAAAAAAAAATCAAAATAATATAGAAAGTTCAATAGTCGTCGAAAACACCTGTTAGTTGAACGAGTGGGTCAAAGTTGGCACTAGTAAACGAAGTGAAAGCAAACTGGAGAAAAAAAGAAAATAGAGAAAAAAAAAGGAAGAAAAAAAAAAAAAGAAAATCTGGAAGAGACTCCTATCAGATCAGAGGGACGCCATTAATCATAAACCATCTCCTTTAACGTTATTGGCTTGTCCCTGTTATTGAATCATCGTCTCGTTTCGGAGTGGGGTGCCTTTTCATTCAACTCCCGCCAGTTATATTTTTTATTTATTTATTGTGTTTGATAAGGTAGCATTTATTGACTTGGTATTGGTAAAAGCGATCGATTTTAGTCACGAAGATGGAATCTACCATGTGATGATCGACTCCCAGGTCTTCGTTTCTCTTCCTTGACAGCCCAGGTAAGAAAATTCTCGTATGTTTGCTAGAGAAAGGTTGAATTTTTATTTCTATTTTTGCCCCCAAATATGAGGTGTATTAGCTTTCCTGGATTTATGATCCGTTAAAACCTTCTGGTTATGCCAAAGGATGTATCTTGATTTTCAGATTTCTTGTGGGTTTTAGATATTTTCTTGTTTTACATGGTTTTAGGTATTGATCTGTGATAAGTTTATAGTTCTGTTTCAGTTTTGTGGGGTTCATAATTTTGGACATGGAATGAAATATAGGGGGATGTTCATCGATTTGGTTAAAACAGCATCATATTGAGGTTGAGATACATAATTTGGTTTGAGATTTGGAGTTCTATTTTGAATTAGAATTTTAGGAGTAAAGTTTACTTCACATTCCAATCTGCCTTTTTTTGTTGGCGTGTGTGTAGGTATTTGGATGGGTTGAATTTGAAGACAATGACTAGTTCTAGTGAAACAGAAGACGATCAGTTCTTTGACACCCGTGAAGAAATTTCTTCTGCATCAGACTTGGGTTCAGAATCTGAAAGTTGTCCGAGTAATGGGGTCATCGATGGTGCTTTTGCATATGACTTCTGGACTAAGAAGCCCAATAGCGTTCGTGAAAGACGTGATAATTTCTTTAAATTGATGGGCCTGAGTTTGGATGGGCACAACAACAGGACTGATGGAGATGAAGAAGACGATCCACGACATGAAGATGAGCTGAAGGACTTCAACAGAATTATGAACGACAATGAGGCTGTGCTCGCAAGTTCAGATTCTGAACCAATAACTAATGACGGTGTTACAGAGGAAAATGCAACATGGAAAATCAAGAACTTGGACAACGGTACCGAATTTGTCGTAGATAAACAGGATGAGGATGGCTCTGTTACCACATTTCGCGAACTGGGTTCGGATAAGATGATTTCACTCGACGAGCTTCAGAAAACTTTTGGCTCATCCAATTTGGTTCAGCAGTTATTGCGAAAGGACTCCTCAAAGGGATCGAACGAAATCGTGTATTCCAAAAAGAAGTCGAGAAGCAGTTGGCTCCAGAGATTTAGTGCTGTGGCTCACATTACAGACAGAAAGAAAGGGTTTCTTGATAAGACGAACGAGACTAATTCAAGCACAGGGTCAGGGGTTCGAGTCCGTGCAACTAAAAAGCATTCGAAAGAACTATCAGCCCTTTACGCAGACCAAGAATTTCCCGCACACGAAGGTTTGATCTTGACGATGAAGTTCAGTCCTGACGGCCGGTATCTGGCTAGTGGTGGGGTGGATGGGGTCGTGCGTGTCTGGAAGGTTCTAGAAGATGATAATGTGAATAAGTTTAATGCCATAGATTTAGATCCTTCAGGGTTATACTTTTGGCTCGATAATGTTTCGAAGGTGGCTCCTGTGAGTGTTGTTAAAGAGAACTCGAGTTCGGCGAGGAACTCTTTTGAGTCGGCTCCTGTTGTTCTTCCTCGAAAGCTCTTTCAGTTATCTGAGAAGCCTTTGCACGAGTTCCATGGACATGAAGGGGAGGTTTTATCTCTGTCCTGGTCTAAGAATGGGGTTAGTTAGTTAGTTAGTTAGTTTTATTATTTATTTTATATATTTTTTTTTTCGTGCTAACCCTTTTTGGCGCATTAAATTACTTTTTTTTTTGGCAATAATGTGGATTTTACTATGGAAAACTTAACTTTTTGGTGTGTAGCGTGTGAAGGAATTGATGCATATATAACAAATAATAAGGACGTTCAAATCATTTCCTTTTAGGATGGATCTTCTAATCTACATAAAAAATTGAATTAAAATTGAAGAGGAGTTTATTTTATTATTATTATTTTTTTATCTTGGATTCCTATTCTACCCCCAAATCTCCCCTTAAAATACTGTAATGCAAATGGGACCTAATGTTTTTCTGTGCTTGGTCTCACATTTGAGTGATAAACTTATGTCTCTTTTTTTTTGTTATTATAATTATTATTATTATTATTATGCAGAGTTTGCTTTCATCTTCAGTTGACAAAACAGTTCGCTTGTGGAGAGTAGGAAATGATAATTGCCTAAGAGTTTACTCTCATAATAATTATGGTAAGCCCTTTTTTTTTCAATAATGATTTATATAGTTTTATGTTAGTGATACTGGATTTTAACCTTGGTAAATGCGTTCTGTTTCTGATGCAAATCTTGGTGCAGTGACTTGTGTCGAGTTCAATCCTGTCGATAATAACCATTTCATAAGTGGTTCAATAGATGGCAAAATTCGCATATGGGAAATTGAAGGTGGACGAGTTGTTGATTGGACGGATATTAAAGAAATAGTAACAGCTGTGAGTTATAGTCCTGATGGCAAGGTGTGTACATAAAGTGTACTACTTTCTTGGTATTGTTATGCTTTTCATTTTTGATGAACTTAAAACATATTTTCTTTATGGTTATTTGAAGGGAGGCATCGTTGGCTCCATGGATGGCAATTACCGTTTTTATGATGTCATAGGTATATATGTTTTTTTTCTTCTTCTTGCAGAAATTTTTTTAAGCTCATGCAATATGGATTTGTATGCAATCTGTTGTAAACATTTTGAACCTAACTAAAGACCTGCAGAACAAGAATGTTTCCTTTTCTACCCAATACTCGATTAGTGAAAAGATAGGTCGATGACTTGCCTATGTGATCTTGGACGTACACAAGTAATTGGGTTTAACGATGCATATGAGCTGAATTATTTCTGATCGGACTCCATTTCTAATCCTTTAGTGTGAAAAAGCAAAAACATTAAATGCGCAGTATAATTTTATTGTTATTTACAACATCTTCCCAAAGTAGTCATCCTTTAAATGAACTATAAGCCATATTTTGACATTGTGTATTACCTTTTCCCATCAAGATAATCGCTTAGAATTAGGTGCTCAAATGTCCCTGAACGGAAAGAAGAAATTGCCCGGCAAGAGGATAACCGGATTTCAGGTTTTTTTTTCTTTCGCAACATTTCCATCTTGCATTCTTTTACATGTCATAAATATTAATGCATTTACTTAAAAT